AATCGAACCATGAAATTCGTTGTTCCTGGAGCAATGAAGATAACTTCGGCTGTTCGGTTCAGACTGGTCTCGTAGCTCTTGGTCAGCTCTTACTCGTTGGAACCAACGAACGCGTTGAGGACGTGGCGTTAGAAACAATGCTGTTGAAAGGCATTTAAACGACGCTCATCAGTTTTCATAAAGATCGCCACTTTTAAGCGGTGGTTGGCTAGGCAATCCTCCTAATGAAACGAACTCTCAGCTATTAAAGCGATCAGCTGTGAGTCGGGTGCTCGATGGAAAAACATAAACATACTATAACGTGAACGAACCCATGAGCGACTTTAGACGACCATGCAAAAAAAGAAATTTGACCCCACTGCTTAAAAGCACCTGCCCTTAACTTCAAGGACTTCTTAGACATAACAACGGTCGCTCAACATCTACCAACATACGAACATAAACACACAGCCTATGTATCGACCGAAGCGATGAGAAAATATCGATTTCAAAAAGAACGAACGAAAGCCTATAGCAAACGACTGAAATCGGAGAACTGTCCTTCCGTCTGTCGTCCGTCCCTTGGCGACCATCTCCCTCCTCAGTTGTTCGCCTGCTCCCTGCTCGTCACCGCTGTCGTCGCCACCCCTATGCGTGACCTCAAGCCAGACAGACACTCGTCGATCGATCAGAGGGCACGAAATGCGTTTGCGCTGAGGTCATGCAGCACAGCTGCGGTCGCCATCGAGCAAACACACTGGGAAACATCCTGTAGGACGGACGAGCTGCAGCCAGCCACTTCGAATCAACTGCTCGCTTCATCAGGTTGAAGATGTGACAGCGACGAGTGAGAAAATTATCGCCAGGATCGAACTCAGAATCAGTGGTCGAAGTAGAAATGTAATCCTTTGGGACTGACAAACCCAGTATGAATATATAAACCCGGTATAAATATAAATATATAATATATAAACCACAGATTGAGTAAATAAAATACTACGCAAGCGAAAATGCGTTTCTCAACCTAGTTGCGTTATTTCCGATATGCAGTACCTGAGAGTACAAAGCGACCCCGTCATTTCCCAGGATCCCCTGAAAGCATGTCTTTTTTCATGGAAATTCGAAACAGTCGTTTTGGTAAATATAGGCGTGTTTACGAACAAAGAAGTTCTCGTAGGGAGGGTTTTTTAGCGGACGATGTTACTGCAGTAAGCGAAGGGTGCCAGGTAGAGAATCTGGTTGTCAATCGTTTTTGGCTTGTGGGAACCTCGGTAACCTCAGCTTCTCGCATGCCGCTTTAAAACTCGTTTTACAACAAGCAACGACGTCAGCCCGTCGAGACTTCTCGCTGAGACCAAGGAAACGGCCGGCGGGACAACGAGCTTTTCAGAAAATAACGCTTTGCAATTC